CGAATGACGACAATCTCTTTGCTGAAGGATGGTAGTGAGGTATTGATGATATGTTTTTAAATATAACAGCCTCCAACGTTAAATGTTTATTATTGTGGTGGTTTCGCCCATACGCTAATATATGATTTCTATTCTACAAGGATGGTACCTATATAGTGTACGCCACTGTTGTTTCTGTGAACAATGCTGGGGATTGGTTTTATTTGGCTTGCAAGTGTAATAGGGCTGTGAAAGCTGATGGTACCATGTACTATTGCATGTATTGTGGGTTTCGTGTTATGAATGTCACCCCAAGGTTAAGTTTATCATACTCTGACTTTCCCGACATTCACTTTTATTTTCTGCTGCATAGTGTACTAAATATGATTTTTATTCAGATATCTAATCAAGCTATCTGTTAGAGATGATTCCGGTTCAGCTATCTTTGTGTTATTTGACCATGAAGCCGCTTCGATTTTAAATACGTCATGCTCCGTTTTGCTGGAAAAGACAGATAGTGTATGTGTACTTTGGTTAATATATTTTACGTATTTCAGTTATTTAATCCTTGAACAGTTAAAGACTCTTATTTTACACCAATTGAAGGATGGAAGTACTGAAAGTCCAAAAGAGTTTGCTGATTTTTTGATGGGTAAGAGTTTCCTATTTAAGGTTGAAGTCAAGTCGATGTTCAGAGGACGTCTAGAACAAAAGTGTGTCATGATGCAACAATCCTGACTCAATATTTAGAAGGTGTTTCGCCCCATGATATAAAAAATACCTCAATGAATCATGGGCTACTTTATTCAGTGGATGAGGACTTTCTTAAACTTACTAAGGCTGCAACAATAGATACATTGAAAGATTGTATTGAGGTTAGATGAGTATATTACACTAAACACGCGCGCCTGACTTTACGGGTAATGTAGTGACTTAAGTGTGTTTTGATCTGTAGGACGGTGAATATGCAGTATACGGTACGATCAAGGATGTTGATTCTGATTGGTGTATAACAGTGTGTAGGTGTGGGTCCGAAGTGGTCCCACGCGGTGGATCCTACTATTGTAATGAGTGTAAGAGACGAGTGATGAATCTGATCCCAAGGTTTGGTTTTTACTAATTTCCAATGCTTAATGCTTTATGTCAACATTTTTTTTATTAATTGACTCCTGAAAAACAATTATGATTCAGGTATCGAATCAAGACAAGAGTTGTCGACACCACGGACAGTGCTACTTTCGTAGTACTTGAAAGCGTTGCATGCTTGCTCCTCCATAAATCATGTTCGGAGATGTTGAAATATTCTGAGGTATGGATAAATATGTGATTATAACAGCTCATCTTACACCTGTTTTAAAACCAGATTTAAATTCTTTGACACATGTTGAGGTATTCATCATTGTGATTTATTGAACTATTTTAAACCCCGTAGTTCTTTAAAGGAAAATATGGACAGAATAGAAACCTGCACTGTCTCATAATTGGTCTCGAATAGATTGACAGAACAATGACATCTGACTTTATGTTTCTTGACATCTTCTTTAAGCATTTTTTAAGCATACACTATACTCAATACCTCCTCCGCATTGTCTTAAATCTTCTACTCTTGATTTTTTTGTAACTGTCTGAACTCTAATTCCATGTAATTTGAAATCGCACAACATGTGAGGGCTCTGCAATTAAACATTTTATAAATACAACAACCACAACACAACTTTGTGGGAAGCAATAGAAATGTATTTGCCAAAGTTTAAACATGCACAACTAAATAACCTATCAGGTAATGTAAAACTGACACAACAATGAGAGATGCACTGCCTGAATAATACTGCACCTGGATTTTTCTTTTTCCTCCTGATCATTTAAAATGATGGTTTAGAATGGCAGCTTCTTCTCAGGTTTAAAGACATTGATGGAAATAAAAAATATTCAGCAGTATACTCCTCTGTACTGACTGAAACTGACTGCCCTTACATTTGGACTTGCCCTGCAATATGTTATAAATACAAAATGAAAACATTGAGACATATAACATTGGTTCTTGCTGCTTGCTTTTCTTACTAATGGTTATTGTAATTGTTCATACAGAATCTGCCGAGTGGAGACATAAAACCCGATGTCTTTAATAAACTCTTGATAGATAAGTCGTATCTTTTTAAAGTTGATGTTAGGCGTTCTCAGTTCAATGACTTTGATCCTACCTATAATGTCATTGACATTTGTTTTGATGAAAGAACAATCTCGCGATTCAAGGAAAGGCATGCAACATTTTTCTCCGTCCAGGTTTGTGAACATTATTAATCGAATGTAAATATCACTTAGTGAAAATTTTGTTCTGTTACTAATAAGACATAATTTTAAGATGCAAATAAAATGCTTAATGGGTAAATTATTATTAATAGACTCATGTGACTTTGGGACTTTCAACTGGAGAAAAATCATCACAGCATACCTTCTCCATGGGCGAGGCATCATCATGTGTCAAGGTTAGGACTCTAAAAAAATGCACAAGTAATTTAACTTTTGCTAAATTTTTTAATTTTTGGCATGGCATATGTGAGTTAATAGGAAAAAGTTTATACTATCACCATTGATTTGCTCCGTTTAGCAAAAGTCACACAGAAATAAATGCTTTGTAGTGAATAGAAATGTTCCAACCTAAAACCAAATTATGTACGATTTCCGAAAGCAATGATACATCATCATTGGAGGTCACATTTTAGTTCAATGCATTTCTGATTTGTTATGTATCTTGCATTAAATTCTTGGTTCTTTGTCTTACAGAATTTGATTGAAGATTTTGTGCAATCAAAGGATAATCAGTTTGAACGACTAGGAGATGATATCACCGACTCTAATATTGGCAAAAGAATCGAAGAGTTTGAATCTGACTATGCAGACGATCATGAACCGAGCAAGAAGATGAAGACCATTAAGATTGAGAAAATTTAAGACTAGAAGTATTAATTAGATGGAGTACTATTCAGTTTTTGGGATTAGATTTACGTGTTAGACATTTTTTAATTTATCATTTTTGATGACTTTGGTGTTTGAAATTAAAACTTTGAAATTTTCATTCATTTTGTTTTTTTAAATAAGATTGCATGTTTGAATAATTTATACTCAGTTCAATGTCATTACACTCATATTTTATACTTTGACCTGTTATATAGTTCATAATATTCATTAATGTTCACTCATATTCTATACTTTGACGGAGTATATTATTATATTGAATAAATCATTCAATATAAGTATATCTTAAAGAAATTACTAATGGAGGTACTAATATT